GACATTTTCGCTATTTTCAATAGTCAAGCAGATTATTGGTTTGAGGGTGATGGTAGGATGAAAGATACTCAGTCAGATTTCTTATTTGTTATATTACATGAATTGATTCATGGATTAGGATTTACTTCTGGTTATGATGATTTTTTTAATGTGCCACCAAAGGCATTGACACCACAAGTCTCGTTTGTTGAGGGTACTGGAGGTTTTACATTTAATGGATTTGTAGAAATGATATTCGATAAATGTATGGTTATTCTTCCATCTGGCCAACGTGTATCAAATATTACAAACCAACTTAATACGTTTAAAGGCACATTTACTAGTATCCAAGATTTTGTAACTACATTTAATGCGTCTTCACAACATCAATTGGCTCTTAATATGATGGTTTACGCCACCACACCAAATTCTTTAGGACTTTTACCTCCTAAATCAACTGATATTTCAAATGCGACAATTCTTGAAACAACATTAAATCCTTATAGATCTGGTTCAAGTGTTAGTCATTTTGATTATAAAACTTATACTAGAACTAGTGATTTCTTAATGAGATACTTGCAAGAACGTGGTTTAACGTTACGTCAATCCATATATTTGGGTGGGAATTATCCTAATGGTCCTATAGGTCCAAAATTACGAAGTTTTTTACAGTCAATGGGGTAAACTTTAAAAGTTTGGTTTTACAGTTTATTTAATGCGACATGAACAGAATTTTAACAATCATCATCATATATATATTTAGATATACTATTCAATATAAACCTGGTCCATTTGATCCTATTCCTGGTAGCCATCCATTCGACGATACTGACAGTGCTGGCAAGCCGAATGCAGAAATTTGTCTATCTTTCATATCATACATATCTTCGTTCTTGTTAATAGGTCTAGTTATAACTTTATGGTGATTAGACGAAATTTATTACCTGTAATATAACTTATGTACATTAAAACTGCGAATTTCCTTTCATACTTTATACACTTGTATATTACCATATTTGCCTCTTTATACCTTGTAATTATTTATCTTTAAAAAATTCAGTCTATTGTTACATGTCAAAGTTATGCGACTCTTTTATTCATTATACGTATAAGCACGTAAAGTCAAAACTTAATACTTTAATATATATACTGTATATAAATAATATTATAATGATGTATATAAAAAATAAAGATCTTAGTGTCATATCATGAACGTAATTATAGATTATATCAATCTATTTAATAATTACGTAAATAAGTATATAGTAATTATTTAACTACTCTCTTAATTTTTGTCACATTTATATTCGGTAAAGATGCGTCATACATTAATTTTGTAATGATGTGTGTCTTACAAAAAGTATCAACAGTTATTTTTCTATGAATCTTGCGATTTACGGCGTTTCTAGTCTACGTATTGTAAATAATTCCGTAAGTTTACAGTAGATCACAAGATCCCCACATTACTTCTGTCATTTTATAAGGATGTGAGCTAATCGTATTACTCCAGCCACAATAAAAAATCTAATATGAGATCAACTTTTCATGACATTAATCTACAAAGTTCTACGTAAAATCATTTAGCATTAACGTTAGATGGAAACCTGTCGATCATGTCAACATACAGTACCCCCTTTCAAAAATCTCCCAAAAATAAAGCTTATTAATAGAAGTGAAATAGTTTACAATCGATTTGTACATTATGAGTAAGTTACGTATGAGAATATTTTTGGCATGTCCGAAGAGGTACCTCAGCCTGAGGCGTTTCTGTCTTATTGTGCCTCGGTCATGCACTTATAGTTAAAATAGGGAACTAATCAAATGATTTTAGGAGGCTTTCCTCAATGTAATATGCCAGTGATCGAGATGCCGCTCAATTATTGCTGTTAATTGAAGTATCTTTATATAGTACGATAAAAATATCCACTATTAAAGTATAAGACGTCCAAATTTAAAAAAAAATGCTTATCGTTATGTCTCATAAATACTAAACAATTATTGTATTCTACATTTAGAATTTAGATTACTTTTTACATATGTTAAAACCGGTTTAATCGAGTTTTTTTTCAACTTTATTAAGATTATATAACGATAATTAAAATTTAACCAGTCGATCTTAGTTGAATATTATATCGACTAGTTGAAGCCCGATTCATTAAGATTGGCTACTATCACTAGTGACCCAACAAATCCCGCGTAACTTAAATCTTTTGCATTGGACTTCTAATGGTTTTCGTTTCCTACTTTTGCCAAATTAGGAATCGGAAAATTTTTATCCTCCGAAAAATTTATTTATGTACTTTATTCAGGCCATTAACAATTAACGAAATTTACAGTGAAACGTAAATATCTGATGAAGTTTTACCCAATCGTACGACTGCTTTGACATTCCAAATCTATCCGAGCAAGAGGAACCCATATTTTCGCGTAAGAACGCTCACCCACACGTTATTTTGATTATATGCGCGTTATTTCGAGTACATGAGCGTTATTTTGAGACAAAAACTTTTAAGTAATTCTTGTATAAAAAATAAACAAACAAAAATACTAGATTTAGTACTAAGTAAACCTTCCTTCGAGCTTTGACAAAAGTTGTTCTGAAAAACAACTTTTGTTTAAGTTCGAAGGTTTACTTAGTACTAAATCCAGTTCCAAAGTATTTTTAAATCTTAGGCTGTTTGAGATTGTAATTTCGTTTAACGTTCCTTTTTGAAGCTTAAGCGAGTGGGGGAGGGGTATCAATTTAAACAAACATTATGTTATATCGCAAAAATAATCACATTATTATTGGTTGGTTTGTAAGCACGTGACTTATTGGAATTTCAAGGCGTAATGAACGTTCTGATTGGCCTGTTTAATTTTAGGGGGGAACTTTGAGGGGGGGGAGAACGTTAAACGAAATTTTAATTTCAAACAGCCTTATTATAAATAAACATCCCTTACTATGGGTGCGTGCTATTTTGGGACGTGCATGAGCGTTATTTTGAAACGATATATATTATTTTTAGGGCACGATTTTCGAAATAACGTTATTACGGTATGCCATATTCATTTGTAAAGTCTACGTATAATCTACTTTCAGAACAAAAAGAATAACTTAGGTCAATTTTTAATGTAAAAGTGTTCTGCGTCAATTATGGATTTTGTCGATTATTAATTTTCACTAACCTACCGTAAACTGCTGACTCTTGGTACTACCCAGGGTATCGAAACAAGGGGTACATTGTCATTGTTTGAACTGAGCCACTAAATCTCACCGGGTATAAAGAGTCAGCAGTTTACGGTCAATTTTTTACTGTAACTATCATTTCATATCGTCTTATATTCACAAAATGATATTGAATAGTTTAGATATATAAATTTATTGTTTTTTTTTTTGCTGTTATACCTTTAAAGAATTTTTGAATATTCATAAATTATTACGCTTTAACATATTACTAAGAACGTTGTTTAATGCTAACGTACTCCCATAAGAACATAAAACGAATGCAAGTGATATTTGACGTACGTACGTACGTGCCCCTGTCAAATCCTAATGTAAAAATATTTCGTTTCAGGGACCAATCAATTCTCCTAATTGTAAGAATCTGGCACTGTCAATAGATTTGTGGGAGTAGTTTACGATTTGGAATGTAATAATTATTATTTTAGGGATTACATATTGTGCTTTAAAAAGAAAAAAACAAATAAAAGAATACGATTCAAAATTATTTATACACATTAAATTAGTCCGTAAGTAAAAAAAATAAAAATAAAAAATAAAAATAAAAATAAAATTTCATTAATCTAAGTGTTTAAAATAAGTTATTCAATTCATGAATATTTATTACTTATTCTAGTTTGTGAGTACTGTATAAAGAACATTTATTAACCTAAATATTTTAAAAAATAAGCCATTCAACTTTTATGAATGCAGTAAAACCTCCATAAATGCACGCTCTTGGGATTGAACTTTAGCAACATGTATTTAGAGAACAATAAGAAAAGGTGCATTTATAGAAGTCGTGCATATATTTGGGCCAGAGGTTGAGCGTGAACTTAGAGAGGGTGTGCATTTATAGAGGATGCATTTATAAAGGTTTTACTATATTTGAGCCAGAGGTTGAGCGTGACTTAGAGAGGGTATGCATTTATAGAGGGTGCATTTATAGAGGTTTTGCTGTATTTTCTATTTAATTTTATTCTAGATTGTGAATACAAAGAACATTTATTATTCTAAGTAGGACGTCCAGGATTATGCTATTAGATACAACATTATTTATAAAATTTATTAATTGTCACAGCTGATGCTACGTAAAATTGGTTATTGAATCTATTTTATATGAAATTTAAAAAATTTTAGGATGTTTTTTTTTTGCTTTTTTGCTTTTTTTTTTAGAGTTAAGGGTTAGAAATTGATAATTAATGAAAATATAATATATGAATATTAGCGAGTTTAAAATTTTCAAATCAAGACCCAAATTTTAGCATTAGCATCAACCGTGACATTATTTAAATAATTTTTCTTTTAAACAAAAGTTGTTAGCATAAATAAGCATAATTTAATGTAATTAATTTGGTATCTTTAGCTTAATGAATATTACTAATTAATTTTATTCTATATTGTGAGTGTAAACCATTTTATATAACACGTATTTTAATTTTATGTAATCCGTATTATCCGGATTTAAATAATTCATTCGCTAATCTTAATATTTTAGAATTTATATAAAATTCACAAAGTTTTCAATACATCAATATTTATAATGATAAAATTTTTTTAAAAAATAATAGATTTTAAATTAATAAAAAATGACGCGTAACACAGATTCAATTTGAAAAGCAGAAAGCAGTATCATTTAGCATTTTTGAACAAAATAGTCAATATAAATCTTTATTATAACAGATAATAGATAATGATTGTTAGATTTACAAATGTATATATACTTAATATATGTGTATAAATAAAAGAAAGTTTTACGAAAATTTAAAATAACTGTATGATATAATAGCACGAGTGGCGATATAAATTGTGAATAAAGTTAAATATGGGTTTGAACAAAAAAAACAATGTTTATAATAGCGTTAATAACCCTAAGAATACAATATCTAAAAACTAAACCAAAATCTCCAACCGGAGTTTTTTGTCTTAGCACTGTTGTGCGAGATGACTGAACGTCTTTAGATGCTCGAGCTCTCATTTGCTTATTGTATCGTCGAATGCATTCGATTAAATCATCATTTTCGCATTTAAGTAATTCTTTAGTTAACAGCTCGGCATCTTGTAATGCATTATTTGCACCTTTAAAAAAAAAACATAAAAAAAAACATAAATATAATAAGTACTAATGTTAATCGGATTTTTATAAAGTCAGTTTTAATAATAAATACAAACCTAATCCTAATATTGGATTCATAGCATGAGCTGCATCACCTAACAAAACGATTCTATCATCTTTCCATGGCGGGACAGATAATGGATCAATATCGCGAAGTGGACGACGTCGTGGAGGATTATACGTTCGAAACAGATTCTTCTTCCCTGGATCAGAATATGGAACCAACGAAAATAACTCAATCAATAGATCCGTTAATTCACAAGGTGGACGCAATTGTTTGATTCTTAAAATTGCATGTTTAATAACTGATTCTGGATTATCATCGTCAACTTGACAATTTTCATCTTCGATATCGATGATCGTTGGATATTGATATGCTAAATTAAGCCTATAACGTGGTTCATCGGATTGATCGATTGGTATAAGACGCATCAATGAAAACGTACTATCTCCATTTCGACCAAGGGATTTTTGCATTAATGCATTTGAGTAAAGAGCTGCAAATTTGTCGGCCAGATGTTTTGGTACTGCTATATCTACGTCGATGCTAGTTACACCAAGATTAAAGATTTCTAAATTAGGAACTTTTTGTTTTCGAACTATAAAATAAATAAAAATAATACTATATGAATAATTTTATTAAATAAAAAATATATATATATTTATGTTAAATTTATTTTAAGAAATAGTATAACTTACTCGGCGAATTAATTCCATCAGCTCCAATTAATAAATCTCCAAATTCTTTGGTTCCATCTTCAAACAATACCCAAACTCCATCTTCACTTTCTTCATATCCAATACATTTTTTACCCCACTGAATATCAACACCTTCTAATAAAACATCGCGTAATCTATTCCGATATGTAATTATACCTGCAAAATCAGTTTTAATAGATTCTATTTCATAAATACTCTTAAATTTTGGTTGTGGTATATGAAATAATTGTTTTCCAAAATGGTCAATCATCGCTATAGTATGTTGTTCCTTAGAAATTGGATCCGGCATTGCTTCAGGAAAGCGAGCTTGAACTTCAGGTGGTGTGCAATAAAATAATGAAGTAACACCTTTTTTATTAATGAAAATGTTGTAACCTTGCCATCGGTCTATTTGTGCAAAATGAAAAAAAAATCTTTAGTAAATCACGCATTTTTTTAAATTAATAAATTTTTGACTATTATTGAAAAACTAACCTTCAGGACTAGTTTCACGTTCGAATATTTTTACATTAAATTTCCGACCAAGATTTTTTCGAATTGATTGATAAAGATTAAGTCCACCTAAACCAGCCCCAACAATTAAAATTGTTGGAAGTTTATCCGTAGAAGTTGTCATTTTTTTTATAAATTCAAAATAAAATTTTCAATTATTATGAATTTTTTTTGTCAAGATTCCAGATTCAAAAAGAATTTCAATTACTATGAATTGTTTTTTTTGTTTTTTTTCGTCAACATTCCAGTTGAGCTGCTTTATATAGTTTTCACTTAATTATAAACCTTCTGCGAGATTTGCCGAGGCAAGGCTCCGTCTATTTTTTTTCCATATTTGTACAGAGAAAAATACCATTATTCATGGAATTACTCATCTTGAATCCCAAGAATTTATTTCGATATTGAATTTTTTTAATCTAAAATCACTTGTTTGCACAAAAGGTACACATTTCGTATTACAGTATCGGCAAAATTAATACCGAGATATGGAGTTTGAATGCCGTCGCCATTTTTTAAAGATTTACAATTGACTCACATTTTATCATTCTTAAAATTTTAATTTTTACATGTACATTGTTATTGGTTCAATATAATTTGCTTTCGAATAACTATAATAATAATTTTAAATATATATATTATGACTCATTTTTGGTTATACGGTGATTGTTTTATTACATTATGCACATGTTTGATGTCCAAGTTCTTTTCATTTTTATCGATATTAATTGTCAGTTATATTGCAGCATTAACTTTATGCATTTCGGTCATTAAATAAAATTTCCAAGTTTTCTATTAGTTTCTTAAAAATACGTAGTAAATTTTTAAACTGCTGCGTATGCATGTAATCAAACTATAAACAAAGGGTAAAGGAACGCAGAAGGATACAGTTTTTGATTGGTCTTTATAAATAGATTTGTCACTTACTGTGTAATGTATACTTAGTCTAGAAATTTCGAAAGTTTCGAATTCAGGATTATATTTTTCCGAAACTTTATTTACATAAGTCGACTTTGTTACACCTTTTGACACCCAAGTTCATACATAACCATGACATAAGCATGAAAGAAGGCATCTATATATGGTTACTTTCTTGAAATTATAATGTCTGTCCGATTTCAAATAATTCTGGTCGATCAATAATCGAGATGAAGCCGTTTATTATTATTATTATTATATATACTGTATATATTACATTCGTCAAAAAGCATTAGTAAATATCAACGGGTTTACTAATATACACGATACCCGTATTTGCGCAAATAACGCCAGCTAATAATTATTAAAAGTCTTGACTAAATTAATCATTAGCTAGCCTAAAACTTATGTCCCGAAATAACGCTCGTGGGCATTATTTCGCGCAAATACGAGGAGGTATTGAAATACCATACCTACGAAAAATTAATTGCAATTAATTCTTATTATAATTAAAATTGAAAATTTATCATAAAATTAATTAATGACGAAAAATTGCAATTTAATTTTTTTCATGATAGAATATTGCATACAGTATGTGATGATTTAAAATCACATGTATTTCATATCCGCGGATATTTGGATTACTATTTAAAAATTACAAAATCTTTAACCATAAATAACTTTTGATTCACCGGTCCGTCATAGGTGATTTTACCATAAAAATGACTGCCTCAATGAGACGATTCTAACGAGCTCAAAATCGTTAAAATTCAATCATGGGATCCCGAGATCGTTAAGGATTAGTTTAATCAATCCTAAACCACCCGAAGTGACACAAATCCTTAACGATCTCGGGATTTGATTTCAACAATTTTGGGCTCGTTAGAATTGTCTCATTGAGGCAGTCATTTTGATGGTAAAATCATCCAAAACGGGCCAGTGATCAAACGTTACTTATGGTTAAGATTTTGTAATTTTTAAATAGTTATTCCAAAGTATCCGCAGATGTGACCTCTGCAGATCACAATGCCGTGTAGATTTTAAGAATATTACCAATTTCAAATAAATATTATTAAATATAATTATTGCGCTTTGCAAAAAGATGTGAACACTACAGATCATTTTTTAATGTGAGAATCGGAGATTTTATAGTTTTTTTGAGATTTTAAGAATTAAACTGATTTCAAAGAAATATAAACGTAACCAATCGAAAATATAAAGTAACAGAAAATCTGGAATCTTAGTGATTCTCGGCCATCATCATCACTAAAATCACATGTTCACATCTTTTTGCAAAGCGCTATAATCGAAAATATGAATTAATAGACAATTTAGAATCTCAGAAATTTTCCTCGTTCCTCATCACGAAAATCATGGGGTCACATCTTTTTGCAAAGCGCTAATTACGTAAAAATTGTGATTGCATCATCAATCAATCGAGTTCAAAAATTGCAATTGCCTCACAATCAATTATTCGATAGGCCTGTTGAATATCTTAGTTATTATTTTCAAAAACTAGCTAACAGCTAAGTATTTAATGCTTGATATCAAATAAATCCAAAAAACCTTAGAATAATCAAAATTTGATTTTTATATCTAACTTCTATCTTAGTTTATAATTGACTCCGATTCTAAATTTTAGAATTATTTTAAACAATTTTTTATTTTTTTCGGTCGAATTTTTTACCGGGCTGATGAAATGATAATCGACAAAGGAAAAATTGAAAGAAACGAAAAGACAATTTGATGAATGGGAGTTTAGATCATACTGCACACAACACATAATACAAAAATAGTTATCTACTGTAATTTAAATCGAAATGGGTTAAACATTTTGATTGAAGTACCTTAGGGTGTCAACCTAGATGTGATTTCATAGTGATCGAAATAGTGCACAAGTATTCTTGCGTAATTTGGCTATTGTCATAACAATTTGGATAAAATCAATAACGTAAATGACGATATTATTGAGATATTTGAAATATACTCTCAATTGCAACGACAGATCAAAATAAATATCTCAATCACTGCTTGAGAGAATTCTAAGTAGTTTATCGAAAATTTACAAAAAAGGTGTGTCGATAATGAAAATCCATAATAAAAAATATGAAAACGCTTGAGCAATACTTTTATTCATTTTACTATTTACAGAGAGACCTCTCTAAATGCACCCTCTATAAATGCACGCTCTATGTAAAATCTCTTTAAATGCACATATAGTCTGGCCTCAGCTTATAATAGCACTAAATATTTTGCTCACACGCCCTCTCTAAGTGCACATTTGAAATTTTTTACTATAGTCCCGAGGGGGTGCATTTAAAGATGTCTCTCTGTGTAAATTTTTGATAAGTCAGCACAAAAAAATAAGATGGTTGGAGTAAAAAGTTTTTTGATTGAAATAGTAAACTCGCTGTTCATTTTTTTATTATTTAAAATTTTCTTCACATAATAAACTACCTTATTATCTCAATGACAAACTCGGTTGATTGATTAAGAATAGTTTCCTAAAGTTTAATTCCCGACATACCGTATTTGCGCGTAATAACAAAGGTGTAATTTCGAAGTTTGGCCTAAATTCGGCCCACGGCTCAAAATAACACCCATCTCACTATTACACGCAAATACAGTATTTTCTGCATACTTTGACCCATTGATTGAACGCTTGAGAACGCCCTAATGCCACGAAATCTACTGTGAGCATAATGATTGTTTATTAATCTGTATTGCTTGAAACAAAATTAATACGTTCTTATTTATTGCGGTTTGCAAAAAAATGTGAAATTTGCAGATCAAAAAAAAAAAAAGTAATCGATGATTTCTGATGAAGATTGCCGATTTTTTCAACATTTTTTTGCAGAAATAAAAGTTGTAGATTCATATATTTTTTGATTTAACATCTTTGTAGGAATATATTTTGCATACTCTTCATGTAGTAAAGAACTTGATTGTGTAATATTAAAGTTTGCTTCTTTTCTAGCCCGGTAAAATTTACTATTGCATGATAAGAAGAAAATTTAAAAGCTGCACTAAATTCAATCTTATAAGGATTATTACATGATATTGCTAAGGAACTTTAGTAAAACTTATATTTAATTACAAGAAGTTGATAAAAAAGGCATTTAATATAAAAAAAATGTATCCTAAATAAATACATATGACTTTATATGGTATAATATTAGTTGATATATATACGTCATCAGAAGTAATGTTATTGCAAACCGCAATAAAACATATCCCCTCTTAAAAATTATCAAATAAAAAAAAAAATCGTGGTGATTTCTGATTTCTTAAAACCACTCCGATATCACGATATGAAATTATAATATCGGCGTAGTAAGTAATTAAGCGCTTTTTTTTTTTTTAAGAAACCTATGCTAAAAAAAGGATTTTACAAAAATCAGCATAAGTGATATCAAATAAAATATCCTTCTCACTAATAAAATGTATTAAATCTCTTCAAAATATACTTTTTATATTACCAGTACTATTAGTTTATTGACTATCACAGTGCGATGCACCGAATTAATTTATGTTCCCCGGGTCACACCAAATAATCCAAAAAAAAGGAACGGGCTATACAAATCCCTCACCCTAACTGTATTTAAAGATTATTTATTAAAATCTTCTGATTTATAAAATATTAATTTTTTTTGAATATCTAGATATTGATTAATTTAATGAACCATTTAGAAGCATAGCAATTTTACTGTAATGGCATTTTTTTTACTGTTAATAGTATTTTTTTACTGTAACATTATTGTAAAGTTGTAAAGTTTATGTAAAACTTATCATACAAATTATGGTGTAAGCAAAATTTGCAATTATTTTAATCATTAATTGGAAACAATACGTAACGGTAACAATTATTTGTTCAGGTAAAGGCCGTTCTCAAGAACCTTACTCAATGGATCGAACGTAAAATTTAATTGGTCGGAAATTAAATAAATCAATCAAGTGAGTTAATTCGATCAACAAATCAACGAGATACAAACCACCTTCTTTCTCCAAAAATTTACCATTGATAAGCACTACTTTTACATTTTAACATATCAAACATAATAAACAATGAATTCACAACAAAATTCACAACAAATTTCTAACCGGTCTAAAAAAATAGCCACTTTATTTTTAATGCTCGAAGCTTTTAAAACAAATAATCGACACTTGATATGAACGTAATTAATACAACCCATCTTTTAACATTTAACC